GCGGTGTGTTTTGTTTCGCGGTGATTTTCCGTCGCGTACTCTGAATTTTCTGCTGTCATGAGATCCATCGTGGTTACAGTCCATGATTGAGGGGCGATTGGGGACAAATGACGGTCGGAGCCATTTGTCACGACCTAATTCCCCCAGTGTGAGCAGCTTCTGCCCCGGATTTGACCAGAGAGCAGACGCGAGGCTATCACGTAAGAGCAGAAGGGCAGGAGTGCAGAAGGGCAGGGGACCGAAAGGTAGGTGGGTAGGTGCGATGGGCATCAACGAAGCCGTGTCTTGAGCGTGGCAGGGGCACAAAGAAGTGCGAGGAAGGAATTCCTAGGGCGCCAAGTGGCCAAGCACGACTTCCTGACTCCATGCCAGCAGCCAAGGACAAGCCAAGGCAGCCGGGGGCGAACAATGGACACCCACGGCCGGCGATGCCTGTTTTCGTGCCGGGATGGTGCGAAGCTACGCACTTTCAATCTCCGCATCCGGTCGGCTGATTGGCTTCTCCCACTCCATCACCGGGTACAAGTTGCCGCCGAGACTCTCGGCAAAGGCTCGGCGGTCTGGGCGGTGTTCTCTCACGACCGCCGGCCCCTCCCCAACGTCGCTCAACTGATCCTGCCCGCTCGATGCCCGGCTCACGCACCTGCCTTGCTGCCCTTCTGACCTCCCCATTTCCATCCTGGCAAGAGCCATCGAGCCCCCCCGCTCCTACAACTGTCACTTGGCAAGCCATCTTCCCCCATCTCAACCAGTCATGGCTTCCTCATACTCCTTGGCTTTGCCATCCCGTGCTTCTGCCGTCGTAAAGCGCTCGATCGCCCTAATTCTTGTCGCTTTCCATCCAGTTTTTCGCCGCTGCCAACTTCTCGCGTCGCAAGCAGTTTTCACCCTCCTCCATTAGTCTGCTGTTCCACTTGACTACCTTGCACCCACCCGTACCCACCCTTCTCCTTGCTCATTCCCTGCGGTGACCTGCGGTGCCCAGCCTTTGGTGCCATTTGCCAATGAGCTTAAGTCCAGAGCCAAGTCCCAGCTGTGATTCCCACTGCGACGCACTGATGGGGCCTTCTGCGCGTTGGTCCCCCAATCTCCAGCCTTCGCGCGTCTTCCCTGCTCATGGGCACGGGACGGAAGACCGAATTAGGAGCAGAGTCCACCGGAACGACACGGGCAAGTAAGATACCTACCTCACTGCCAGCAGGTCAAACTGCTGGAAGCAACCACAGTACGGATGGCAGAAGTTACGTTTCTACCACGGCGACTTGAGTTCTCTGCGAGCCAAGGTCAAACGAAGACAAGGCTAAACGAAGAGAAGCGTGGTGCCGTCAGCCCCCATCGTCAGCGGCTGGGCGCCCTGCCGCGCAGCCTAAGACTGATCTGAGCCTGGCTTTGAAAAACTCTTTTAGGTGGAAGCCCTTGTGAATTCTCCTAGCACCGGCACCTCTAACGCCACCGCGCCTCACACCGATGGGGCCATGTCACGAGCAACAAGACAGCCTGGGCTTCGCATTTGGTCCCGCGAGTATCCGCATATTCAGTTGGCCGGCAATATGCCCGCTTCCTTGTTTTGCGATGGTGCCCCTGCAGCAATGGTTGGCACTGGTGGGTCGATTGGTTCACCCCTATTTACTCCCTTCACGGTGACGATGACAGTGCCGTTTTTACGAGTTCTAAGCTTCTGCTATTCATTTCTTGTCTATAGTCGAGGAACTCATCGAGGCTCTTCATATCGCATGATGAGCGAAAGACCAACGCCAGTAGCATCCATGCTACTCATCGCATTGACAAGCGCCACATGTAACCCTGCAGCAGTCGCCATGCCACAAACGTTTCTCTCGTGTCATTGCAATGGGGTGGTTTGTTGGCATTGAAATTTTGAGCTCGATAATACGACCGACATAGGCAGGTCCTATCTTGCTCAGCTCCCATGTACTATTCCAACAGGGCAGGAGAGCAATATTTCCTAAGCCTGTGAGCCTAGAACGAGCTCCTACCTATCAATACCAAGACCTCATCTGCAGCCATCGAGCCAAGCACAAGCAACCTTGATGCGTAACCATGTGCCCGCCATTTCGGGTCTGATTCTTTCGATCTGCCTACCCTCCTGGAGCTTGGCTTGGCTGATCTGACGCGTCGCTCATTCAGGGTTCATCGACGCGCAACCGAATCTCCGGCGCCGTGATAAGCCTGTGATACGGGCAGGTGGCGAGATAGTTAGAACAGCATCGGAGCCAGACGGAGTCTTGTCCCTGGCTTGATTGGTGTCGACTGGCTTTGCGCAGCCACACGTCTTTTCTACCAGATTTCCTCACAACATGCGGCGGATGCCCAGTAGTTCGCAAGGCAAGAGGCTGATTCTTGCACATTGCAAATCGTCAGATGAATGAATGGTACCTGCCAGGGGTCTGGGTTCTCAATGTGCTGATGCATCACGTGCTACATTGGGCCATGGTCAGTGCGCCGAGGTACCACCAGAACCCATTTCACAGCGCCAACCTTCTGTCATATCGGCCCGAGAAATAGATACACGGCCCTATGATTACGACTCGAAAATATGTCAAACGTTGCTCAGTTGCCGCTGCATCTACAGCTCGTCCATCTCCGGGAGATTCTCTCAACAAATGCGACCCTTGTCGCTGTGATCAATCGTGCAGCACGGCTCGGTCTGCCGAACTGGTACCTGGCGGCGGGGTCCCTCTCGCAGACCATATGGAACAACGTATCAGGCATGCCTTCGGACACGGGCATCAGTGACTACGACCTCGTATACCACGACGCCTCGGATCTCTCCTACGATGCAGAAGACGAACACATTCAGGCTGGCAGGGCACTTTTCGCCGACCTAGGCGTGGACGTTGAGATTCGGAACCAGGCGCGCGTCCACCTCTGGTATGAGCAGAAACACGGCGTTCCGTGTCCGCCCCACGGCAGCACGGAGGCGGGCATCGACTCGTGGATCTCAACGAGCGCCATGCTCGGCGTGAGACTGGAATCTGACGGGCAGTGGACAGTGTATGCGCCCCGCGGGCTTTCGGACTTTTTCAACATGGTTGCTAGGCCTAACGCAGTCCTGGGCACGAGAGAGGCATACGAGAAGAAGGCAAGGCGTTGGAAGGGAATCTGGCCGACGCTTCAAGTTGAGCCCTGGCCTGCGTCGACAACAGAGGCTACAGCTATCGGGCTTTCAGACGAAGCGGCGGCTTCCGAGACTCTGTAGAAATCTCTAGCTAAAGCCGCGGATCCAGGCTCAAAACGAGCGGGAGTGACTCTCACGTGAGCGGCAACCGGGCGCCGAGCCAGCGTTCCTCAGAATGAGCCGATGACATCTTCAGGCCGCCCCGTAGTAGCCACAACTGTGTGAGGTCGTATACCACCAATCTTCCAGTGCCTGTCGACCACAACATATAGAAACTTGACGAAAGCACTGGAGTCCCACTGGGCTTGCGTGCATTCGGATGCGTCCTCACGTGGCGAGCCCGAACCTGCCAGTCTCCCTTGACCTCTGTGGCATTAGTGCGTGTGAAAAAGGATGCGCCCAGGAAATGTTGAGTGCTGACTATCAGAGCATAGCATCAGTGTCGATCATTGACATTGCGGACATTCTGCTGACTCACGTCGTTTGTCACCAAGGCTAGTCACAGTGCCCACAGCTGGGTATTCAGCATAGTCGGCCACTACCTGAGGTGCAGTGATGGCGAGCCAGGTTGATTTATCCTGTTCTGGCCATCAGATGGTGTTCGATCGCATGATTCAAAGATTCGTCATTACCTTTCTATCCCAAGCAATGGACCACTTGTAAGAGAGCTCACGGAAGCTTCTCTCGTCGGCCAGCGAATAGTCTAGTGGTACGTCGCTCGTGGCTGTGGTTGCTAGGCACTGGCTATACCACTGGTTTTGGACCTTGCAGGTACTCCCGGCGGTACAGCAATTGGGTCCTGTTCAGGTCTCGCCGCCACATTGACCCTTAGTAGAACGTCAGATAGAGTGAATAGGCCATGAGTACTGGTCATAGGCAACAAACCAAAGTTTGGCGCAGGTCGAAGTTTCCTCAATAGAAAGTGCAAGGGCCCTCGAATCAGAAGCCCCATCAGGAAGAACTACATGGCCATGTTTTCCGATGGATGAGTCGAGACACTCGATATTTGTTGAGATGAAAGGGATGGATTCCAGGAGCAGAGAAGGCAACAACAAGCCTGGAGCATCTACGTTCCCTTTATATCTCAGTCGACGCGACATCTCACACAGAAGCCCAGCTGTCGAGGCCCTTGAGCTGAATCAGCGGAAAGAAAAAGAAGCACCGAGAGGTCGGAGGTAAAACTTCCGGCTGCCGACATTGGAGTTGGAGTATCGTCAAGCTCAGGTTTTGTGCGAGGTTAGTGTCTGGTAAAGCCCGCTGAATCATCCCGTCTGGAGACAACAAGCGTGTGGCTCTACGGCTGAGTCTTAACTTGGAAATTGCTATGCAGCAGCAGCAGTGCATGCAAGTGAAGTGACAGCGGGTTCGTTTGTGATCGCTTGGGATCTGGCTGTATCGTAAAGGTTGTTCAACAACCCCGATGATTGGCCCATGGGTCTGATATGGACACTGAAAGACACGCGATAACATGGGGTCAGTCGGGATTTCACCGCAATTGTGTGGAGGTTTCGGATCGTCCGGCAAGCTAGACTCGGGATTTCACCGCACTCAGGTGGATGCGGACTGTTTCTCGAAGAGAAGGGCGTCCCCCTCAAAGAAAGCCGTGTTCAGCAAGCAATCATCCTGACTTTCCCAAATTGATGTGCAGCGCTAAACTTTGCAGCTCATCGTCTAATGACGATCAAGATCATCGTGCCCACGTAACTGCAACATCTCATGATTCATCTAGAATGCTGATATTACCTCCACATCGATGATAGTAGGTACAATGTTACATGATCAGTAAAAGCGATACACCGTTCTTCAGCTTATATAGAATAATAGGAATATATTAATATAAGTGATCTGTAATAAATATCAAGTTAGCATGAGCACACCGTACAGTCAATTAAGCCACTTGGCTGTGAGGCATGGAAATCGACATTGGAGACTTTCATGTCGTTCTCTTAGTTGGTAAATATTGTATGATATTCTCGAAGACCGAAAGGAGCATCAAATTAAAACAGGGCCCAGTGGTCATGTAAATAGCAAAAGAAAGCTCAATGAAGGAAACTACTCATAATGGACGTAATTCGTAATGGCCGCAATGCAGGCCACTGCCCTAATGAAAGCCGTCCAGCCCGAACGGATCCTGCGCGTCCTGATACTCCGGCTCAGGCTCAGGATCCTCGATGACGAGACCCTCTGTGATCCTCATGACTTTTTTAACGTCGTCAAAGCAGATGGGTCGCCCAGCTCGTTTGGCCAAGATCTTGGTTGTCTTCGCAATGTTACGAATGCGCCGACCATTGACGTCGATATTCGCCAAGACCTCGAGCTCGCGTTCTGAGATGGAGGACTCGGTACCATGCGACAAGAAGGTTGTCCAGATCTTGGTTCGGGAAGGCGCGTCAAGCGCCGGATAATTGATGGTCAGGTGGATGCGCGAGTACACCGCCGGGTCGAGAACGCGTTCCCTGTTCGTGGTGAGGAAAAGCAGCGAAGGATAGTATTCCAGTTCCGTGAGGAAGCCTAGGTCTGTCAGCATTGAATGTAATGATGAAGACGGCGCGTGGAGTTTGGGTTGACATACGGGATACAAGTTTGTTACGTTGCGTCGAAGTGTCGCTCCTCTGCTCGAGGTAGAGGTCGCATTCGTCGATGAGGAGCACAGCGCCCCACCGAGAAGCGAGATTGAAGGCTGTCTTGACATCGCTACTGACCTGCTCGGGGCTACGACTACGGCTACGACGTCGCGACCGCGAACGAGACCTCGATCGAGATTCGTCAGTCTCCTTCATTTGAACGGAGTTGCCCTCTCCAAGTTCAAGCTTGTACAGAGGCGCCTGTATTTTTTCCGCGACTGCACCCAATTAGATTCACAAATGAGCTCAAAAGATGAAAAGTTCAAGTCAGCAGCAAGAAAACATACCAGATTCAGCTGTCAGGGTCTTTCCAACACCTGGTTCGCCAGCAAGAAGGATAACCAGACCGCCACCTGAAGCGCGTCAATTTCTGGCATTCACAACGCACACAAAGAAAAACAACTGACCTTTCCCGTTGATAACATCATCAAAAGTGTCTCCTTCCTTGACCTGGCTTTCCACAAAGGACAGTATCAAGTCTTTGTACCCCTCTGGGAGGACGAGGCTCTCAAAGGGTTTCGTATTCCACTCTATGTCTGATACACGGTCGACATCAAAGGTGCCTGTAAAAGGTTTAGCCAAGTGGCAACAATGATGGTGGTAGAACTCAGTAGCTTACGCCAGGCTTTGGTCCTCATGCTGTAACCCCAGACTTTAGGGGCGCAGAGCTGAAGCTGCACGTCAGTCAGCCTGTTGCGGGCCGCTGCAAGGCCGCGATCGGATGTGTCTGCAACATTGGGCGGCACGTCAGCGTAGCCCAGCAAAATTTTCACATTTCATCTCACCATCATCATCCTGTTCGCTGTCACTATCGCAAACCGGGACAAGTGGGCCCTTGCCATAAGATCTATGGGGACGACCAGGGCGAGGTGGATGAGGGACCACATTGTTATTCCAACCGTTATTCATGTAAGGCGCACCTGGGACCGGCGGCCCCTGGGGGTTCTGATTTGGGTTGGGTAGTGGTATATGCCGACCTCGGGGCACCTTGTCAATGGGCTCTTGACTGATGAGGAACGTGTGGAGAGGAATCCCATGCTGACACCTCTTCCACAGTGGTTGAGTTCGGGGACGTCGCGCATGTTCGGATGTGTCAAGAACGATCCTGCTCTCTTCGTGCTGCTGGTCGGATGAGCCGGCCTTCGCACCGGACCAGGACCGGTAGGACTTGTAATGCATGCCGGCCAGCCCGGCGAACTTGCGGCCCCTGGCGAGTAAACTTGCCTGCACTTTCGGCAAGTCGTCGAGGTACGTCGCTGGGTAGACTGCCAAAGACGTGATTCGTCGGGTGCCGAAAAAGTTTGGCATCGAAATGTGCTTAGAAGCCCCGCCAAACCGACGTCCAGTCCAGTCCACGAAGCGCAAGTTGAGCCCTGTCTGAAAGGGGTCGACTTGGACCGCATCAACAACGTAGAAGCGATCATGGATACCCTCTCGACCATAGACGATGGAGCCAGGCGCAAAAAGTGCCCAAAGAAACATGCTCGAAATGACACCGTTGCTGGCGAGCTCTTTTGAGATGGCAAAAGCCTCGGCAAGCTCTCGTTTCACGACGGCGCGCAGGGCGACTAGGACCTTGCGGGTTTCGGGATCTTCTTCGTTGGCGACGGCCTCATCGAAGCGGTCCCAATGCCAGAAGAACACATGGAACGGCGCCTTGAATACCAAGTGTCGAATGACGCCGACAAAGCCGTCATACATGCTAAAGACGTCGAGCAATACCTGGCGTGCTGCTGCATGGCGGATTTCGATCGAGTCGAGCGACACGAGGGTACTGTTCTCGCTGTGGTTTACACGTCTTCGAATGACGAGAGGTGGTCCAACATCGATCTCTTTCTCCGGCTCATCGAAAACAGGAACAACGACGTGCTCGGGGCATTCTTCGATCCAGTTTACGCAGCACTGGCACTTCCTCGGCCCCTCATACAATTCTTTGACAAGCAATGCTCTCTCATCGGGCGAGAACCTAACGTCTTCTTCGATGCGAATAGCATCGGCAAGGCGCTCAATGACAGAGAAATCCTCATCGCATGACTCCGCTCCGGATGACCCTGACACAGACGATGATGGACTCATGGCTTGCGTGGTGTGAGGAAGAATGGTGGATGCTGGAATGAATTTGGGCGGGGGTAAGAGAGCAGGCTGTCCTCAGCACACGCAGTCTGAGAGCCCGATATTTATGAGATGCAGCTGAAACGGCCAGACTGCTGCCACCAATGCTCGACGGGCTTCGGTGAGCCAATCGGTCGCTCGTAGGACGAGCATCATTGGATGACATGGATCTTAGTCGACTGCCTGTGAGCAGCTTGCATACCGTCATCATCTCAACAGCATTACATTAGCCGGGCGTTGTGCCTGATGAGATCCAATCACTTGACATGAATTTCTACTCCAAAGTGTATTGGGCGCTCATTATGTATTGGGTGATCATAAATGTGTTGGGTGATCATGGTGGTAGAGGCCTCAGTAGGTGCATCCAATTTATATGGCGATACTAGTAGATTTGCATTAGGTACCTTGCACGAGGACAAGAGACAATCCAGTACGAACCACAGACTGATAGGGTACGGGTCAAATCCGGTGCCTGCTAGCTGGAAGTATATACTCTATCGCTCTTGCGACGTTCCTCTTGCATCTTATCGCGATGGTACCGCACCAGCTCCGGTATTGTGAGATTGTTGCGGGATCGGCTTGCTATCGCACATAGGATCGATGGACCACATGCTTCCATCGTAAATGAACTTCTCAATGAGGTGGGGTAGCCTGGCGAGAGCCTCGGAGGCTGCGCGCTTCGTTATCGGTGATTTGCCAACCGCTTGGTACTGTACACGATACTGTCAATCTCAGGTCGGGTAAAAGTTTTGGAGATATCGTGAAGAGGCAGGAAGATGCAGGCTGAAAGTCGCATGGGATTGGCGCAAGCAGGGGGCGCAAACTGGGCGGTCCTTACCATGCTGATTTTGATGTGAGCAATCAAGAACGAGAGAAGGGGGCGCGGTCCAAGGAGACGTTGGTGGGAGGTTTGGGTCGTAAAGAACTGGAGCGTGGGCGGTGAAGAGTGGTAGATTGGTTTGCAGCAGTATCGTCGATGATTCACGATCAGTGCAGTAAATGGCCCAGATGGTAGCTTCCTTGCCTTTTCTGCCATCAAGATTACCAGATCTCTACGCTCAGGGCCGGTGCCTGCCACGGATGGCTCAATGCACCTGGTTTATCTCTACAGTATGGGCAGGAACGCAACACGAGTCCAAGTAGAGGAAGCAACGACGATGATGTGATCTTGAGAGGCAATCGGCCCAGACTCCACCTAGACACTACCAGAGGCAAGTACCCTCGATGCTCCCCGATTCAGTCCGTCTCAAGGGTCGTAGCCAATGAAATCGTACTCAAACGGGACGCCCTCAACCGCTTCAACATTGTGGTGGCATGTGCCCCTTGTCCCGCACTGCTCTTCCTTCACGATACGAACCATCGCCATGGGGAAGTAACATCTTGGCACTTTGCCAGGACCCTCGCTGCTGAGGTCAAGGTTGTGGTCACCCTCAGCGTTGAAACCGCAGTCCATGATGGAGCGATAGTAAGCGGCACGATTGTCGAGACCGTACTGCGCCATCACGCCGGTGTGGAACTCTGGTAGCGGCTCCCGGTACAAGCTCACACGTTGGTCCCACTGCTGAAGATTGACGCAGTAAAACTTGTTCTCCCATTCGATCCACTCGCGTCCAATGACACCGTCGTAGCATTCCTGCTCACTCGGGCGATGCTCGTTGAGGACGAGGACATAGTATGCATGGACGAGTGCTTGATGAGCAACTTTGCGCTCGATGTTCTTCACTGCGTCCTGCACATGATCTGTGATGCCGCTCGTGTGCAGATGCGCGAGCCAGATGCCCGTGTTGAGGAACTTGGCTATGGGGAAATCGTAGTTGTCGTTTCTGGGAGCCGGAAGATTGGTATAATCGTCGTCAATCGTAGAAGCACCGAAGACCGCACGGAGGGTCTTCTCGAGGCCATGCTTGGTTTGGGCGAAAGCCTTGCTGAGCTCGGCACTGATCTTCCCATTGACAGGCTCGTCCTCCTCTTTCTCGACCAGGGAAAGTATCTCGCCAATCATGGTGAAAGAAGCGCCCTGTCCAAACGAAAGTCAGTAACAGGAGTGGACGATGTGCTGTGCTCGTGTTGGAGAGCGCATTTGGCGTGGACTTACAGCTCCGGGAATAGGACCAAACCCGCCTCCAAGCATGTTGAAAGCTGCAGCAACCCATGCAACCATGTCGTCATCGGTCTCTGGCTTACCACCAATCGTGAGAATGATCTCATCAATACGACCGCTGAGCTCGGTGACTTTGGCGTGCAGCTCGGTGTAGTAATGGTTGAAAACAGTGTACACGCCCTCGAGGGCTCGGAACTGCCAGTAGGCGGGCTTGAGGTCATTGGAGTTCTCGGGCTTCTCGGCCTCGGCAAAGTATTGTGGGCAGTCCCAATTCTTCGTTGCCTTGCAGGTCCCGCCAAGCACGGTACAGGAGTCAAAGGCGGTCTTGCTGACAGAGTAGAGTCCTCTCTCATAGCCCCCATCTCCCATCAACCAATCCTTTGGTCCGTCTAATGAAAGGGTTCTGCGGTCAGCAAATATTCACTCAATCTTCAGAGCCGCAATGAATCGGCACCACGCCAGCACCCTGGGTGCTCAAGAGCCAGGGGTAAACTTACGCTGGCTGATCTTTGCCCATGAGTTCAATAGCCAGCTTCCGCCAATCTCCTCGTCCCAGAATTTGTAAGCACTCTCCTCCGTGCTCAGACTTGGCGGGAAGCACCACTTGTTCATGTCGTTGAGAGGATCGCCGGAACGCGGCGACATTTGCGGGACAGCATAGGCCTGGACCAAGACAGCCTGCACAACGACAGACGCGATATCAGCCCTCATATTGAGATAATCTGAAATCACTCAAGTGAGATGAAGCAGAAAGAAAGAATTCTGTAAAGGAAAGAAAGTGCTTGTATAAAATCGGTTGTTTTTCGAATTTGTAATTTGATGGAACGACCAAGAAGAAAACGGGCTCGTGACGGAAGGAAAAGACAAATGAAAGGAAAGAGACAAGATGATAATGATGATGAATCACTGGAGGAATTGAAACACTAAATGGCGTATTGTAGTACATTTTGGGGCCATCTACATTCTTTATACTTGGAGAGCAGAGTTTCTCTCTCAGGGCCCGCGAGAATACCCAAGGCCTTGCAAAACCAGCCGCTTGATATTCTTGGCGCTGGAAGCCATTCCGCAAACTCATGTTTGTTTTTGGAACCTGTCTTTCCGCATTGGGCTACAGCACAAGGTCCTGCGCCCCAGAAGCCTCAGTCGCAGCCCTCTTAGATCGAGAGCTCATCATGATTCATATCGAAAAGCGTAGCCTCTCGTAAGCCCCAGAGCTCAGCCCCGAACATAGCATCCAATGAGGGCATCCTGGCACCTGTGTTGACCCCTGTGTCGAATATTCTGGCCGGCGCCTAACGCATGACTGCACATAAGCTGCAGGACATGTGCTGACTATTGTTCGGGGTGAATCCCTGTCACTTTGGGGGCTCATGTGCCATCGACGAACTGTCGCCACTCCACTTAATGCTTACAGCGGCAGAGCTGACTCTCAGCCTTGTTCTCATAGATTGGCGTATCGTGAGACAGAGTCAGAGCCTTCGCATTGTACAGAGATCATCTGATTATATGAGATTGTTCTAGTGAACGCGAGGTCGAAACTTGAATGCCCTGACAACTACCAGGATAGACGCCGGGCCAACCTTTGAGTCTCTACCCCCCTTAATCCTCGTGCATGATCGATCCACGGCGCGTAGATTGGAATAGCAAGCATGCTCGTAAACCATTGCACCCCATCTTCCTCAGTTAGGAACTGACATAGCCCCAACGAGGAGCATTGATAATAATACCACAGAGAGCACCAGAGAGCAATCCAGCAACAGGCAGAGTCAGTACCCAACCCCCATACACCCATGCAACCATACGCCAGTTGATAGATCTCCAGGTGCCGGAACAAAGGCCAACACCGATCACACCACCGGTGAGACACTGGGTGGTCGAGACGGGAAGCTCTGTGGGTGTAGTCAGCGTCTGAAACCCTCCAGCAGTCAACAGGCTACTAAAGAATGAAATGGGAAGGTCTTACTGAGCTGGGTAGCAAGAATGATGGTGCAGGTGGCGCCGAGCTCCATGGCGAAACCGCGCGAGGGAGAGTGGAGCGTCAGACGGTTACCGAGGTTACGCATGATGTGATAGCCGTATGTCCAAATGCCAATGGAGATGCCAACACCTCCGTAGACGCTGGGACTTTGTTAGAATTCTTTTTCTCATGGTTTGAGTCGGATGGGATTATTGCGAGTCTGGGGTCGCGGTGCCGAGGATGTGGGCCCCACGCGAATGGGCGCCGACAGCCCCCCACCCCGCGAAATCATCATGGGCATGGGAAACTTACAGAATCCATGTGGGCACAGGGGACTTGGAACCAGCGATAGCGTTGGTCCTCCAGATCTCGTAGATAGTAGCGAAAGGGGCGATTGCGTTGGCGACATCGTTGGCGCCATGGGCAAATGAAGCGACGGAGGCGGTCATGATCTGAAGGAAAGAGTAGAGGTACTCGGCGCGGTTGTCGAAGTGAGAGACGTGCGAGTGAATCTCGTCGAGATCGCCGGAGAGCATGTTCTTGCGGCGCTGCTGCTTGTGGATGTCCTGATCAACACCGCGGAGGAAGACCCACTTGAGACGCCAGAAGAGAACGGGGCCGGAGCTCCACTTGCCCTCAGGCCGGGGACCGACAAGACCAGCGGTGGGGCTCTTCTCGTCGGTAAGATGGTCCTCGCGTCTGTCGACGGGAGCAGGGGCGACACGACCCGAGTCAACGTCCGAGACATCATTGCCGAGGACCTTGGTCTCGCCAGTAGGGTTGGCCTCTTCGTCGGCGCTGTGACCGCCACCGGCACGAAGGGCGTTGAGCTCCTCCCTGGTGAGGTGACCCTCGTAGTAATCCTTGATGCCACCGCGGAAACCCTCAGGCTGAACAGGAGGCTCAGGACGGCGGAGCAGGAGGGGGCCCATAGGAATGTGCCAGAAGCGAAGCTGCCAGTCATCCTTGATGACAACGCGGTACAGCCAGGGGACGAAGAAAACGGCGACGAAGAGGGCGACAGCGGAGCCAACTCCGACGATAAGACCGGCCTCCTCGGCACCATTGAAGCCGGTCTCGATTGACCCACCCTTCCAGATAAGAAGCATGGTGATAAGAGACGAGGTCATGCCGAAGTAGAAGGGCACAGTGGCGAGACCTTTGATGACAGGGTTGTTGCGTACCATGACTGCGTACTTGGTTGCGAGGAAGATAATCGCGGCGAAAACGCCCGACAGACCAGGCGCGATGATCCATGCAAGAAAAACCTGAATGACACCAGCGTTGATACCGGCATCAAAGTCGGCCCAGATGACGCCATCAGCGCCGACAGTCGCAACACCCATACCAATGATACCACCCATGATAGTGTGGGTTGTCGAAACAGGGAGACCGATCTTGGTGCAGACAGTCAGGTAGAGGGAGGACGCAACGATGGCACAGACCATGCCGAGCATCAGCATAGCTGGGTTGTCAGCGAAGAGGTCGAGGTCTAGGACCTTGGTACGGATGGTATCGGCGACTCGCGCTCCGACACCGACGGCTCCAGCGAACTCCAGCACGGAGCCAAGGGCCATGGCCTGGATGTAGGTCACGGACCGCGAAGACACGGATGTGGCCCACGAGTTGGCGACATCGTTGGCACCTGAAAGAGAATCACACGTCAGAATAGCCTTCCCAGGGAGTCACGAGAGCAGAACATACCAATATTCCAGGCGTCTAGGAACGAAAAGATGAAGCCTGCAGCCAGCAGATAGTCATACTGGTGAAGTGGAGCCATGATTGGCAACTTTGGTTGTCTGAAATCAAGAAGAAGTGATTCTCAAGGCCTTGTGATAGGCAAGAGGCGAGGCCAGGCTGAGGGTCAGGGTGATGACTTGGCTTGAGAGAGAGCCTGATACAGTTGCAGAGAGGGACGAGCCACGGAATATATATAAGGTTGAGTTGCATGGGAGGACATGCAAAGAAGCCAGCTCAGAACCATCATCTACCTCGCGGAAAGTAACCTAAATGACCGGGGCTCATGACGGCTCGGGGCTCGCCACGCTTGGCAGGCCACCATGGAGGGCGAGATAGTCCAACACTTTCCTCGATGAGCATCCCATCCGCAGTCTCTGCGCCAGCGAGACCACCCTGCATCGCCCTGGTGTGGATGGGCAGAATATGGATCCTAGAGGCCCTGCTTGCCAAGGACTGCCGACCCGCGTCTTTCGATCATTGCCTGCGTTCTATCAGGTCTATTCGACGCCCACTGCTACCTGTGCGCATCGACAGAGGAGAACCAGGATACCAAAAGAGGTGCCGCAGCGGTCGAGTGGGGAGGTGGCATGTCAGTGCCAAGAACAGTTAGCTCCCACGTGCAGGTCTGCCTCGATGGGCTTTGACGAGAGGTAGAAATTGAGACATGCGGTAGGACAAGTATGTGGACCGCAGACCAAGGTTTTGGGGTGTCCGAAGACAGATATGATGCAGTGGTGCAAGGTGCCGGGGGTATACAGCCTGGTGGTGAGGGTGGGGGAGCCAAGAGGACGTCTTACAGCGACTCATTGCTAGCAGCCAGCGCACATGCAACGGAGACTTTGCTAGAAACGTAACCAGCAGGGCATATTCCTTTGCCTCCACCCATCTGGTACAGTCGCCATACAGTCGTTGAAGTCAATGTGGAATGCCAAAAGAGATACAATCGCGCTCCCGGGAAAGGCGCCAAGGGCCAAATGGCGAGCATCATATGGATTCTCAACATCAAATCAGAGAGCCGCAAGCCACCACGTGCATCCCAAAGCAGTCGTGTCTCGTAACGACAGTGACCACTTGGCCGCTTATTGCTCGTAGCATCCTTGCCGCCTCACCTCTGTTCCCTTTCATCGTGATGGTTCGTGGGGCGCTTGGCCGCCAGAGCATACTAAATTGGCCGCCAAGACCGGCGGGTTTGGGAAGCCTAAAAGCCGTTCCCATGTCGCGATCCTTGGGGGGGGGGGGGGGGGCGCGACCACGCACGCCACGACCGGCTGCACCTTATCACACCACACCTTAATCTATTGGATGCGAAGGTTAATTCGCTAGTCCGATGGCTTATTGGTATGCATCGCGTGCCTCCTGGCTCGGACATCCAGCGGCCATCCTGTCGCTAGTCTTTCTATCTTTACTCCCGTGTCGCGGCTCGTAAGACCGTTTTCAGTCCGTACGGCCGTCTTTCACAAAGCAAAAACGAGTCGGTTGCCTGCTGAACTTCCTTGTAGCATGTATCTCTCATGGCTATAGCAGAGTTCAAGCTGGCTGTACGGGTAAAAGTGCGAAGGCGTAAGATATGTCACAAGCTGAAAGTGAGTTGTCTCATCACCGCGGATACGATTGTCAACAAAATTCGTCTGATTGGGTGGTATACCCACACCTCGTGTTTGAAGCTTTCGAATGGACTCATGCTGAAGGCTTCTGGAAGTTCATTGAGACCTTTCAGCCCGATTCGACCAGGGACATCTATACTCGACCATCAGGGGTTTCACAGGCCCCGTGGCGACGGATCCTGGCGACATGAGTGTCTTGGCAAGACATAATCAGGGGTGATCTGAACCAGATGAGATGCTTGTCTATCGGTCTTCGCCGATGCACACTTGGATACGACCTTGAACTTATGCTCGGTACGCCGCCTTGTTGATCCAGCTGCAGCTGCCTTCGTGTCTGGGCAGTACATGATGCTTGAAATATCCCCAGAGCGCTCCACGTGCGTCATTCTGCTGTTCTTGTTGTCTTGTGACGACGGCGATTTATTGGATGATCGTTTCTGACGACAAAGCTTTGGGTCGATCTTTGGCAAGATGCACTCTTGCGTGGCCAAAGACCTCATCGTGGGCCTTCAAGCCCCAACGCTACATCCATGGAATTGAAACAAGCTGGGGAACTGTTAACCCTTGCTGTTCTTGAATCATGATGAGATCTTGGCCGACAGAAAAAGAAGGGCGACTTCATTGGACCTGCCAGTCTTTATATTAAGCGAGCGCAATCAGTGAATACCGTCGGACGAGATGCCATTCTGAGACCATAAAAGCGATACAAAAAGATCGAGGAAGAACGACTGGCAAGAACGCAGTTTTCTCAAATCAGAGGTGTGCTATCATTCGTCTCTTGTGATCCGTATGTTCCCGTACCCCTCATTCTAGTGTGAGCCGAAAAACCTCTAAGTCCCCATGCCACGAACTTCCAACAAACGTGTCGTACTAACAGCTATTTTCAGGGTTTGGTCGAATGTCGATGATGATCAGATAGAGAACATCCTGAATCCGAGATCAGTTTGAATCCATAAATTGGTCCATAATTGACTGACGCGTACCTTTTGAAGAAGACTTTTGAATCCATTGCCGGAATATTTACTGCCGCTATCCTTCGCCCTTTTTTTCTCCAGCTCCAACTCCTTCTTCAGCTGTTTCTTCCTCTCCTTCTCCTCTTTTTCGAGCCTTTTGTTTCGGTCTTTCTCGGTCTCTTCTTCATGCTCAATTATGGCTGCCATTTTCGTCTCCCGTTCATCTCCAGATCCAGACTTTTGCTGTTCCCCATCGGAATCCTGACTCGCTGGAATGAGGACAGGTCCTGCAGCCGTTACCTGTCCTCTGGTAGACCATTTGCCGGCGGTTACAAACGCAACGATGTCCCCACTCGAAGCTGGGTGATTTGGGTCTGCATATCGAGATTTGAACTCTGGTTTCGGCATTGATGCAGCAACATTGAAGTCGGGATTCTTTTGCATCCACTTGGCCTGCGCGCGCCTATCAGAGAAGTTGTCGGCCCAAATCTCTCCACGATCGAATCCGCCCTTCGGCTTTCCGTCAGGCTTAGTGCACATGACAGCTTTTGTTTCGTCGGCCGAGGGAAATATCAGTGGTGCGGGGTCGGGCCAATTGAATGCCCCCCGGCAAGGTTTCATGCGGTCCTGGATTTGCTGCTGGAGTTTGTTCACCATATCGTCTCTCGAGGACTTCTGCAGCATCGCCTTCCTCGCTTGTTGTATGAAGTCTGTCTCCGTAGGCGCCTCGAACGTCTGGCCTTCAAAGTCAACAGCTGTGACCAGCTTCTCCTGGCTCTCTGCGTCGGACCTCCAGGTGGCGCAAAAAGCATGCAAGGCCTCGGGGCATGAAGAAACCAGCGTTGATGCGATCAAGGAACCTAGACGACCGGTTGCGGCTGTCGGCCTCGAGGAGAGCATATGTGCCCACGTCCACGGCCAACCCGATGAGTAGGGAAAATGGATCAGGCGCAGCCTCGCCGGCAAAGCCAGCGAGGTTGATGACATTCAGATATGGATTTGGCTCAAGCGATTGATTGAATGTGTCAACAAAGTCGAGAAAGGTCGCTTGATCGATGCCTGCGGTGTTGAGGACTGGTGCGTACGCTCTTAGAAATCCGCCGCGTTCGTTTTTTGGGAATGTTTTGGGGGAAACACCCGGGGGGGACCAATTTTCTCTGTTTTTATAATACCCCCCCCCAAATGGGGACGCCGCAGAAAAAAAGGCGACTGCTAG